ACCATTCATTTCATAAATAAAAAAAAAAATCAATACGACATGATTAAGAAAATTTTTAAAAACAAACTATACTTATTTTTTATTTCTTTGTTCTAAATCTCATTTTTTTTTCACAAATTTGAGAACAAAAATGCTAAATAAACATGTATTATATGTTTTTAAAATTTTGAGAACAAAAAATTATTTCTCAGAACATAACCAAACACACCCTTAATTTTCAATTTTTCTCTTACTTTTCTCTCTCGGGTAGGAGGAAAAAAAATGGTGGGTCGGAGGTCTCTCCAAATTTTAGTTCCCTCCTATTTTTATTTGAAATCAAACAATAAAAAATCCTTTTTACATCTCATTTTTCTTCTTCTATTTTTCATTTATCTAACTTCCCATCAAACCAACCACACTGTAAATAAAAAATAATTTTTTAAAATTTTTATTTAATATCATATGAAATATTGAAGAATATAATATTTTTTTTTATTAATAACATTGAACCGACCACACAACATACCAAAAGTGGTATAATTCTAAAATAACACAATTAATTTTTTTTAACCTAATTGACACCAAGTAGAAGTGGTTTTGTTGCACGCCTGGTGTCATTTTCAGCAGGTAAGGCTCGACTCCCAATCCAACCTGTCCCTTCCATTTCCATAAATAATCCCAGACTTGAATTATTTATTTTATTTTGTACATTTACTTTTTCAATTTGGCGGGAGTTTTCATTGAATTCAATTGAATTCAAGTTTTGCGTCCGAAGGGTCGCTGATTCTGATCTTTGCTTGCATGAGACAACCGCCATTTAAACGACGGCAGATTTTTTGAATATTTAAATGCAGGAATAGATTGGCGCCGTCACGGTGGCGAATTGGATAGGGACAACCGTTAAAGTGAAAACGGAACAGGTGGAGTTGCGACAGAATCTTCGGCAGTACCACGTCACGCAATATTCAGATTACTCTACCTTTAAAATTTTATTTCTTATATGCCTCTGAAAATTGTTAATATTCAGATTATTATATTACTGAGCGTTTAGATCAGTTGGTGAGCAACGATTCTATCTTAACTAAGGTCTCAAGTTTGAGTTTTGGGAACGCAACTGCTTTCGGTATGGAGAATTTTGTCACTCTTGTGGTCCATCCTGACTCGAATCCAAATTAGTTTGAATTCAAAATGACTTTCGAATAACAAATGGTCTGAAAAAAAAAAAAAAAATTTACCCTTAACTACTTACGTTGCACTATTAGGTATTTAATTTTTTTTATTTAAATTATTAAATATTTTCTTTACACAAATTATAAATTTATGAATTATTTTGAGTGGTCAATGATTTAAAAAAAGCATACAAATCAACAACTAGAGAAGTGAGATTAAGGTCAAGAGCAAGCTGCATTAATGTACAAATTTTTAAATTTTTCCTTTTTTTATAGACACGATGAAATAGAATCGTGCTTAAATAATTACTCAATGAAATCCAGTTAAAAATTATTAATTAATTAATTAATTTAGATATTTTTTTACATCCAATCTATCTGTGAAGCGCTATCAACTCAGTCAATACGGATCAGCATGTTTGGCCAAACACATCAATAATTAATTGCAACAATAATGCTGACATACCTTCCTAATGATTTATGTTTTAACTTTTATTAGGACCACGATCCCAAGTAATTAAGATGGAGAAATTCAAAGCACAAACTTTTAATGGGTAGATATTACATCGGAAAATGCTATATAATTCAAATAAAATTTAAAAATTAAAATTTAAATGCATTCCACTGAAAAACTTAATGAGATCTACTCATCAAAGAAATGATATGCATTTAGGTTATAATTTTTTGGGTTTCATTTGAGTCTTATAACATTACTCTTTAAAATTATTGGTTTAATTTTTTTTTCACATGTGAGAGACTCTAAATGATTAAATGATAGAATAAATATAAAAGAGTTTAAGTGATTAAATGATAAATTTGAGTGGATTTAGATGAAAAATTAGATTGTTATTAATTTCAGGGACACATTGATACAAATTTATATCTTTGAGGGTATAAATTAAAAATTTTAATTTTTGAGGGTACAAATTAAAATTCAAAAATATTTCGAAGTGTTATTTGCAATTAACACTTAAAATTATTGGTTTAAAAAATACTATTTCAAGAGAGTTTGAAATTTAAGTGCAAACGAGGGGGACTGCGTCACGTTTCGAAATCATACAGAAAAAGAGAGACGTGCAAATTTGTTTTATTTTATTATTTGATGTTATTAATTTTATATCTAATCAATTTAAATATTATACGGTTTTTACTACAAGGTTCAAAGTTCAAAAAAAAAAAAACAAACTAGACTAATCATCCTTATTTTGTTTTTGTTGTCTTAAAAGTTAATAAATAAATAATAAAATAAACAATACTGTATTATTTGTCATAAAAGCCAGATGGCTAAGGGGGTTTGCACAGAGACACAAATGTCTCCTACCACTTTGGCCTGTGTTGATGGTATTAAATTTACTCTTTAATGTTCCGTTTGGTATAATAAAAAAATAAAAGGATAAAAAATTGGATAGATAAATAAAACATCATATTTGGTAATGAAGGAAAATAGGAATAATGAAAAAATGGATGAATTCACTTTTCTTCTAACTCACCAAAATCAATATCTCCAAAATTTGACGGAAAGTGGATGAAAAATTAATTATTTGTATCGAAATATATCTTATTTGTCTATATATTATGTATACATTAATTTCATATGCAAATATAATGATAAAATATATATTTATATATATATATATTTTCAAAAAAATTAAAAATTAAAAATTTAAATTAAAAATATATATTTTTTATCTTAACTAGGGGTAAAAATTTTCGACTCAACACAATGACACGACTTAAACTCGACACAAATTTTATAACACGAATTTGAAAATAACATGACGCACAAACAAGAAATATAAAAGAATCATAATTTTATAACTCAACACGAATCTGACATGACACAACTCAATTGTCACCTCTAGTATTTGACAAAAAAAATTAAAAAAAATTATTTATTTTATTTTTTATCCATCCAACTAAATACAAAAGAAGAAAAATGTGTCATTTCTATCAAATGGAGCATAATGCTTTGTAGGTAGATCTAATAGGTAAGAAATTTGATTTTTTTTGTTTAATCTCTGGGTTCGAATTTTTATACCTACGACAAGTTGTTAGAAATAAATTATTTTTTATTGTCTAGAACTCGTGGTGAAATTTTAACTTTGGTCTCAATGTAGGTACAATAAAATCTTATACCCATTATTGAATGGTGCTGAAAGATAATACTCTATTTCATATTCATGGAAAAAAAGAGCGGTGTAGTGTAATTACATGAATTAGTTTCCTTTTCTCTCTCTATGTAAAGTGCAGCCATTTTACTAGGAACCATTGAGGTATGTTTTGTTTGCCAGAAAAAAATGATAAAAATTGAAAAAGGTAGAAAGTGAAGTAAAAAAAAATATATTTTCATACATGTATTTGGTTATCATGAAAAACTTTTAAAAAAATTTTAAAACATTCTCATTCCATTGTTTGAAAAAAAAGAAAATTATAAGAAAATTTTTCTAATTATTTAAATTATCTTTAAGTATTTTAATTTGGTCTAAAGAAGAAAAAAATATTTTTTATTATTCAAATTTTAAAAAAATCGGCACATAACCTAATTTAGAAACAAAGATCGACTCGAACCTGAATATCTAAATCAAATTATATGGTTAGCCTAGTTTGTACACATATTTTTTAAAAATTAATAACTAATTGAATATTTAAAAAAAAAAAGAGTAAAATGAGAAGTTAAGTTATTGAATACAAGTTTCTTGCTTTTTATTGTATTTTTTGAAAGAAAAAAAAGTTAGTTAGATATGAGAAAACTTAAACATGAGTGAAAATTATTTTTTCTATCATTTTCTATTCCATGCTAAACAAATGCATGTAAAATTTTAAAAATTTATCTTTGTTGTATTTTATAACATTTTCTTGCTAAACAAACGAATCCTTGGAAAAATTTTAGCCACTCTCCTAATTTATTATATCTTTAAAAATACTTTTTTTATTATCAAAAATATCACTAACACCCATTCTAATTTATATTTAAACCTCACTAACACCCCTTACCATTAAAATACCATTTTTAACAAAAAAAATACCAAAAATACCCCTACATAAATCTCAAGTAATTTTTCTACATAAAATTTTATTAAAAGTCGAGCCGATTAAAATTTATTTTTCTAAATTTTAAAATTTGAACAAATTAAAATTCAATTGAAATTGATTAAATTTTATTTTTTTAACGAATTAAAATTCGAGCATATTAAAATTTATTTTTTACGTATTAAAATTTGAGCCGATTCGAACACTACTCGAGTTGTTGGCATTGATTATAATTCGCTTTCTGAGTTAATTAAATTTTTTATTTTTTTACTTATTAAAATTTGTATCAATTAAATTTTTTATTATTTATGTATTAAATTTGGACTGATTAAAATTTAATGCAAAATAATTAAAATTTGATTTGAGTCGATTAAAAATTATTTTTAATTGACTCAAATAGAATTTTAATTAACCCAAATTTTAATAAGTAAAAAATATAATTTTTAATTGGCTCAAATTTTTATATGTAAAAAAATAAATTTTAATTAATTTGAATCAAATTTCAATCGCCCTGAATTTTAATATGTAAAAAAATATATTAAAAAATAGAAAGAGCCTTATTAAAAATATGTTTATCTAGGGTAGGCATGGATAAAATTTATCTTTAAATATATATAAGTAATTTAATAAAATTGTATTTTAGTTAATATTTTTAATTTGATAGACATGTCGGTGAAGATTCAAAAAATAAAAAAAATATTTTTAAAAATATAATAAATTTGAGGAGTTCTTCTTAAAATTTCCCCTTTCATATTTGAACTGTCTCGTAAGAACCCCGAAACCTTAATAAAAGCATAAACCTATCCCCAACATTCTCCACTCTATCTCTCTCTCTTTTCTGTTCTCTGCCTGTTGGTCCCCTCTGCCGGCAAACGTTGCACATAACTCACTTGGGTCATTCATTATTAAATCTATTATTCGAGCAGAAAACAAACACCAATATACCCAACTCTTTAATCTGGTCATTCTCTGAGATGGCTGATTCTCTAGACGACGGAGAGTTCTGGCTTCCCTCTGAATTTCTCACAGATGATTACAACCTCATGGACAAAGAAAACATCAACAAAAATGGCCTCAACATCGGTCTTAGCTCCAATCGCTGCTTCCCCGCTGAGTTTCCCTGTGATTTTGGATATTTAGGCTTGTTTGGTTCGTCCCCTGTTTTCAGCTCGCCTGTTGATTCCGCGGTTGGCTCATACGAAACAGAGAGCGACGAGGAAGACTTACTCACTGTACTGACTCGCCAGTTAACTCGCTCAACTCTCCGGGAAACCCATAAAGTTGCTTCCGGAACTGAGAATCTGGAGGTATGTTGTTCATTTCCTGGTTTCTGAACTGTTAATTTTGGTGAAAATGAGTACTGATTTGGTGTCTGTGTCGACTCAGAAGAGCTGGGTCTTGTCCGGCTCGCCACAATCAACACTAAGTGGATTCGAAAGTTGGTTTGGCAATGGAAGCCCCAATGGACCTTCTCAGATGTCTTCTCCTCCAACCACGCCATTGGGTGCGAATGACGGTTGGGATCTCATATACCGGGCCGCAGGGCAAGTTGCAAGGCCGAAGATGAATTCTGATGGGTCCACCAAAGGCAGAGGCCTCTTGAGCCCACCAAGGACTCGCACTCCGGTTAACTATTTAGCGCCGGCGAAACCACCCAACAATGGGTTCTATAATAGCCAGTGTCTCTCGCCCACGCTGTCGCAGACCAACCATGTAAGCAAAATTTCACCCAGCGTGTTATTTCTGTTTGAGAATTCTGTAGTTTCTTCCTTTGGTCATAATTGAGGCTGTATTTGAGAATGTTTCAGCAAGTGAACCATGACCAGATGATGAAGCAACAGGGCTGTGCTGTTTGGAGTAGGCAGGTGAAGGAAGATTGGTACTCTGGAAACCGAATCTCTCAAGACAGAGGCCCAAGGGTTGGTATTGGGGGTGGGTTTGTGGAGTGTGGGAAGCCACTGGGTTTAGCTCAATCTGCGTGGCCTCCTTTGCTAGCTCAACACCAAAATCAGCAACTACTGAACAGTGGGAAGGGTATGAGATCGGTTTCTCTGGGTGGGTCTTGTGGTGGTGTTCAAAAAAGGTGCACCGGCACTGGTGTGTTTCTTCCTCGCAGATATGGAGATCCCTCTGAGACTCACAAGAAGCCAGGTATTTCTATGAAATTAACATCTGTGTGGTCTCTTCCATGTCTCTTCTATCATGGATTTTTCTTTCCTTACTATTGTTTTTGTATGCGACTGTGAAAGAGGCGAGAAAAATTGTTGTCGGGTTTTAAAATCTTATTTTCAAGATAAATTTGGGGGATATCGGGTTATGTTCTTTATATGTTATACTGGATTTCGGAATAAACTCCTTTTAAATGCATACGACTCCGAAGTACTTTCGGTTTGGATCTTGACAACGTTGCTATTTTGTGGGTACAAGCAGGTTGTTCAAGTGCTCTCCTTCCAGCTAGGTATGGTCAAGCTTTGAACAAGAACTTGGAGGATCTGACTGTCCTTGCCCAACCTCGAGCTCAGCCCCGCTTCAATGATACTTTCATCCCAGAATATGGTATTCTCCTTGTACATGAATTAAGTATCAATCTACTGCAATTTTAAAACAAATTACCACATTAGGACTCTTTTTAAAAGTGAGGAATGTGGTCGTACAGGGGGATAAGGCTATTCAGTGTTTCAGTCATCTGTCAAAGCCCAATGAGTTTACTCTTAAAATTTTTTTGTCAACAGCTACGCTTTGTAAAAAGTATTGTAATTTTGTTTTAAAATTGCGGTAGATTGGTACTTAATTCCCTTATACACCCTATTACTTTAATACATGTGCTTTAATCAGTTTTTTGGGTTGCTAGTATTTGTTTATGTGATTAATACATGTGCTTCTTAATGAGATTTGTGGGTAAATTTACAGATTTCCTAATGGCTGCTCGGAGGACTGCATTTGTGGCACAACAGAGGCGGGGTATGTGGCCTGGAGTACTAACGAATCATGAAATACGCCTCCCTCAGGAATGGACTTATTGAAAGGGTTCTTATCAGTATGAAATGCTTCTCCTAGTTTATTGTTTTGTTGGAGATAGCAAATCAAGATAGAAGTTATGGTAATGCTATTTTAGGCAAAGAAATGTCGAATGAAAAAATTATAAGGAGTCTAGTTTAAGAAGAAAAATAAGAGATCCAAGTTCTTTTTTGGTTTTTTTTTTTTTTTGGGGGGGGGGGTGTTTGAAATCCCATCTTTTGTGGCCTATCTTTTGATGAAAATGAAAGGAAGGCTTGTAAAAATAGCTAGAATGGGGGGGGGGGGGGGGGGGTGCCTTTTGGTTGTAAAATAAAGGGAGGATAGTATTTTTTTTTTTCTAGCTGGGTTTAAAGGTTGTAGGGGTCTTCTTAGTTTTGGGTTTGTTTGGGCAGGGTAATGGCTTTTGATGCCTTGGTGTTGAAGATAAATCTACAACCCTCTTCATGTATCCATCATGGCTATTAAGTTTGTAATAACAAAGGTCTATTATTTATTTATTTATTGTTAATGGGCGGTGCTGTGGTTTTAAGTGTTAGTTACAACCCCAAGTTCCCCCCCCCCCCCCAAAAAAAAAAAAAAAAAAAAAACAACAAACAAAAAGAATCGTTTAAAAATAAGCATTCAACCCCCTTATGGATTGGATTAATTTGCTACCGTTGTATGCACCTTTTTTTTTTTCTTCTGTATCTTCTTCTCTTACTCTGTTTGGTTGGTTGCAGTCTCATTATGGGTGCGCAAGCTGTTACTGCCCTAGTCCTTTGCCCCTATTCACCATTGTTCTCTTTCATTGTCCTTTTTTATTCCTCACAAGTACAGAAAATCCTAAACTCCACCCTCCTCTCTCACGACATCAGATTTCTCAAAAAAGATGGCTCTTCAGTGAGTGGTCTTTCTGAATTTTAATATTCTGATTTTTCCAATATGATTTCATCTTTAATTTTGAAATTAATTGAGTTTGATACAATTTTTTGATTTTGATTACTTGCTCTCTCTCTTTCTCTCCCTCCTTACGGCTGGAGGTTGGTTGAATTTGTTGGCGATGATTTGGGTTGAATTTTTGGTGATGAATCGGGTTAAATTTGTTGGGTTAATGAATTGGGTTGAGTTTTGATGTGTTTTTGCTATGGATGAATTGAGTTGATGAAGTGAGTCAATGGATTGGGTTTGCACTGGGTGGTGTCCCAATCGGAGTGGCGGTGCGCAGTGGGTTGGGGTGGTGGTGGAAGTTGTGTGATTCAGTGGGTGTAAAGTGAAGAAGAAAGTGGAGAAAGATGATATCGTAGATGATACGGGCGTTAAGGTCTATTTTGTTACGTCCGTTAACGGTATTTGTGGTTCATTGTAGTCCAAATTCATAAAGGGGTCGAGTGCTTACTTTTAAACGATAAAGGGCAGACATGCTCTAATGACAAATCATGAGTGGATAAACTGATATCTTCCCTCAAAAGAAAATAGAGGATTATTCTAGTTGGCGTGTGAGTAATTCTTACGGGTCAGTTGCCCGGATTCCAAATTTTGTCTCATCCTCTTTGGCGTAACGCTGTTCTTATCAACCAGCACAAAAAAAAAAAAAAAAAAAAAAAAAACGGTGTTCTTATCGCTTGTAGAAGAAAATAAATTTCGTTTACATTCTACTAATTATTTTAACATCTTCATATAAGATCACAAAATTGGGTATTTTTGTTTTGAGATAAAACGGTATATATAAATATACTAAAAAATAATGAACTACTATAATTCTTAAAATGCCAACTATAACAGATGAAAAAGTACTCACATTGTAGTGAAGAAAAGCCAAAAAAATAGGTTCAATAATATTAATATTCCCCCAAAAGAGAATTTAACTAATCAAATTTTGTCTTGGATAAGAATTGATTTATGAGTGATTTGGAAGTCGGTATAATTTTTTAGACTTATTTAAATAAAAGTATAACACAAAAATTTATTTGGGATAAAGTCCATAATTTTTGAAAATGACACTATTGTCATTTGGTAAAATGCAGAAGAGAAGAAACCATTTGAATTCCTATCGAAAATTTTGGCTACAATCAAGTAATGAGAGTTAAAAAATAGGAGCTTTAATTATCTAATTCCTTCTTCTTCAGCAAAAGGGATTCTATGGCCATGAAAATGCCATAATTGCGATTGTTCATCGTCCAAAAAAGAGAGAAACACGATAGTATTGCTCATCGTCTCCTATGATCGAGTAACTGTTCATCGTCGCATGCGGTGTCCAATAACTATATATCGTCTCCAGCCATTTTTCATCGGAAATTACAGGTGACATTCATGTCTCATTTTTTGTCATTCATTAATGATTTATTTATTTTTTCACAAAAATGTGTAATTTGATTTTGAAAAAAAAAAAAATCATAAAACCCTTTTTTCGTGAAATGATAGTAAAAAATTGCAGGTTTGTAATTAAGGATTGAGTAACCTAATTACAAAAGTTAAATCATCTGCAGATGAAAAAATATTTTGGAACAAGAATTTTTTGATTAAAAATAGTTACGTAATTGTTTTAAGTAACTATTTGTGATCATAAATTACAAATAATTAATATTCAAAATTTAATGGGTTAAACTATATTGAATAACTATTTGGGTTAATTGTAAATTGCATTCTGAAAGATCGTTCGAATCTCAATTTGCATCCTCAAAGATCAAAAATTTTAATTTGTACCCTTAGAGATAAAAATTTGTATTAATGTGCACCCCTAAAGATTAAAAATCTCAATTTACACCCTCAAAGATAGAAATTTATATCAATGTGCACCCCCAAAGATAAAAAATCTCAATTTGCACCCTCAAAGATAGAAATTTGTATCAATGTGTACCTAAAACTAAATTCATAAAGTATACCTGGATCCCCTTATGATTGTCACTTAATCATTTGAAACCCTTCACATTTAGAATATTACTCCTACATCTCATGATGTTTGTGCATGTGTAACACGTAACCTCTTTTCGTTGATATCTGTTAATATAACTGTTAAAAATATGATTTTATTCTAATAAAAAATTATAATTTTATATTATCCTTTATTTTATGGGTCTAATATATTCTAAAGTTCAAAATCAAGCTTTCTATTTGAATGTCTAATAAAATAAAGAGTTGCACATTGAATGATATATTGTATTGGATATAAAAATATTATATAAATATCTATATTCTATTGGACATTCAAATGGTAAGCTTAATTTTGAACATTAAAATATATTGGACACATAAAATAAAAGGTAATATGAAATTATAATTTTTTATTAGGATAAAATCAAATTTTTTAACAGTTATATTAACAGATATTAACAAAAAGGGTTTACGTGCTACACGTGCACAAACGTCATGAGATGTAGGAGTAATATTCTAAATGTGAAGGGATTCAAATGATTAAGTGACAAGCATGATGATATGTAAGTATAATTTATCAATTTAGTTTTAGGTGCACATTGATAAAAAATTTTATCTTTGAAGGTGCAAATTGAGATTTTTTATCTTTGAGGGTGCACATTGATACAAATTTCTATCTTTGACGGTGCAAATTGAGATTTTTTATCTTTGGGGGTATACAGTGATACAAATTTCTATCTTTTAGGGTGTAAATTAAAATTTTTAATCTTTGGAGATCTAAATTAAAATTTAAACTATCTTTCGGGGTACAACTTGTAATTAACCTTAACTATTTTGTGATTTTAAGTATTCAGATCTTATATATGTTATTGGTAACTGTATTGAATATCTGTTGAGTAGCAGTGTTGAGTATATGTTACTAAATAGTTGTAACTGTATTGAGTATCTGCTAAGTCGAATGGTATGTTAAATGTATATATTTATGGAATGAAACTTAGTTATAGTCTATAATGGTTCATAAGCAATACTTGTGTCCCTAAAAATAGTTACTATGTTTAGTTGAGTTACAATGCTCCTAAAAAATTTAGATAAATCTCATTCTAATGAAATAAATAGTTACCAATGTTTGGACCAAAGATTAGGTTAATATATATACACCATATATTACTTTAGTTTGTGGTAACTCTTGTACTATCTACCATGTTGTAACTTTATGGTATAACTATTTTTGTGTATCTTTGTGATGTAACTATTTTCGGTAATTGTTTACAATATGAGTTAACTGATATTTTCATGATGATTTCATACAGCAAGCTGAAGTGCAACGGAGCATCCCATCAGATGAAGACATGCCTCCATTCCTGATTAACTTTGCGAAGTGCAACGAGATATCCCTTCATTCCTAATTAAAACATTAAAAAAATGAATGATATTGTATCAATTCAAAAACAAAAGAAAAACAGTTACACAAAACAACATAAAAAAACATTAATACAAATGATTGAATTAATTAATCACATACTGGGAGAAAAACATAAAACACAAAATAATTACAATATACAGGATTTACCGAAAATAGACATTGGCTAAAAACTTGCATACAAGAACAGTTATACTAAAATGCAACTCTGATTTTTTCAACACAGTTACATAACCGTTACTGTTTATATGAAAAATAATTACACCTATTAAAAAATTGTTACACCCATTAAAAATCAAAGCAGTCTTTTTTTTTTCAACACAGTTACACAACAGTTACTGTTTATACGAAAAATAGTTATACCAATTAAAAAACAGTTACACCCATTAAAAACCAAAACAGTCTTATTTTTTTAACATAATTATACCTATTAAAAAACAGTTACACTAATTAAAAACTAGAGTACTTTGTTTTTTCCCCTTCATCCCAACAACGAATAACATAAAACAAAATTGAAATTACGATTTTTCAATAAAAATGACCGAATAAAAGAAAAAATATAATTATTAAAAACTTGTTTTCAAGTAAATAATTGTGATCGACATTTGCAATTCTTTTTTTTTTTGAAGAAATCTTCTATTTATTGGAAGCAAACGAAAATAAACTAATAATATATCTCAATCGGAGAAGTAAATCATCAAGTCGTACGTTAAATGAAATCGCAATGAAACCAGTCATTGAAGAAGACTTTTACTGCAGAGATATATCGAAAAAAAATTCTCAGCCGTTGAACACACTTTTACTATAGATATACCACAAAAACTACTCTTTTTTTTTTTTGGGGGGGGGGGGGTGAAGGGAGAGGGGGAAGGGAGTTTGAACTCTTGACCTCAATAAGGATAAACCTTTACAAAGTAAGGATTACCATTAGACCAAAGACTCATTGGTAAAAATTACTCCTTCAAAATTCAAAAATGAATGATAACAAATATGTAATCTTTACATATTTGTTTCCTCAAATAATTGTCAATGATAACTGCATAAATTAAGGAAGAATGTTTAGGTAAAAAAGATTTTAATTCATTTGAATTTTATACCTAAACACAAAAAATTTTATAAAAATTGTACTTCATGGAATAAATAATTTATCCATACACTTTTGCTCGAATAAGCCTGAAAAATTGTACTCATACCCAAAAGACCCTTGATTTATTAACTTACACTCACATGTGCCAAATTATACTAAACTAACTCCATACACGGGTACAAAAACTCCATTAGTGTACTTTTGTGTTAGATAGTTGATAGTCATCGTAAAATTCGTCAAACTAAATATAAACATGATTTTAAAGAATTAGTCAATCTAAAAAAGTTGGGATGAGATTTTGTTGAGTTTTTAGACGAGATTTTATTGAGTTGAGTTGTATTCACGGAGTACAAACCTAACATGGATTTAATCTACTCTTAAATAAAAGAAATAAAAAAATGGCTATACAATTAGGGAAACGTTTCTTCAACAAGCTAGATTATAAATCATCAATAATGCCTTTTTTATTCTTTTTGCGTATTTTGGTGGCATCCACGACCCCTCTTCCTTTCAGGCCCTTATCCAGCCGTCAATTACGAGCCTTGGGCGTAAAAATGGCTTGGGGAAATATATGAACTACCGGATGATGTAGCTCAGACTTCACAACTAGATATTGACTTTCAAAATTTTGATAATTAAAGAGACAAGATTATATAATTTTAAGGTATTCATAGTTTACAAAAACCTTGTAAAAATTATATAGGTGAATTACACTTTATAACTTAAAAGGTTTAAGAATTTTTTATTTTCACTTTTAAAAATTAAATATTTTTATATTACATACTCAATGTATTAAAATTAAAGTAATGTTGTTTAGATTTAAAAATCCAACCTCATTTATAGAGATAATTCACCATCACATTTGAATTGATTGTACGTCCCATTAAACATTAAAACATACTCTAATGATTCTAATAAAATCCATATCATCATGTCAGAAAATAAAATCAACTTTTTAAATTTGAAAAACATTACTTTTAAAATTGTTGCAATGTGACATTTCTATTGTCCTTTACATCAAAAAACTACGTTATTAACATGATAGAATGAGCGACAGAAAAATCATTTTGTAACACTTTTAATACATTATGAATATAATATAAAAAAGTTATTTGTTAAAACTATAAAATAGAAATTCTTAAATTTTTTAACCTAGAATTTGTAATTTCGCAAATTATACTATCAATTTTTGGGGAGACGATCCCCACATTGTCTCCTAAAATCCGTCATTGCGTTGGAATACGCATCAAGCATGCGTGTAGGTAACGTAGCTTGTGATGGAATTAGTTGTGTCAAACACGCACAGCACAAGAGACTAAACTTGTATAGGGAAACATATAATACTTGTTTTATTTTTATTTATTGAGTTAATAAATGTTTAGATTCTTATTATATTAGCATGCATGATGCAGTTGTGTTGATAATTTATTTATTTTACTTACGTGAGGAGAGCTGCTGTTTTAGGTCAACCAAATGGACATTCAACGATCTTATTATAAGCCCCATCTTGGACATGAAACTATGAAAGTATCATAAAATGTTTTATGGGTAAAATCTAATTCAGAAAATCATTTTGGTTACTTTCTTTTTTAGCATTCTACTTTTAGTTTAATCATCTCTTTTTCAACATTCTATATACTTCTTCTACCATTTTCGTTCTTTAATTCAACGTTTAAGTTCAATTGTCAAAAAAATTATCTCTTTTAGTCTAATTTTTTTTCTTTTGAGCCAAGTTTTTAAGACATGACAGAGTTTTATTTTGATTAATTTTTCATTTAACTATTTTTTCATTATACCAAACGGAACATTAATAACAAAGACCCATGCCCGTAACAGCGATTGGTGGGCATAAAAATGGCGTGGAAACGATCTCCATTCGAGGGAATAGCAAACATGGGCCTAGCCCAATATATCTGATCAATGGGTCCTGATACAGGCCTTAGCCCAAACCTCGAGAGACCATGTTTTCAGAGCTATGGCACATTTCAAAGCCCAGGGTTGGCCCGCAAGGCCCCGCGTAAGTAATTGATCTTCTACAAAAGGCTGTTTAATAACTATATTTAATTAAATCTTGAATTTAAATACATTTTATTATTAATCTAATAATTATAATAAATTATATTTTAAATAATATTACTTTTTCAATTTTTTTTTGGCGTTAATCAGCCTTAGAGAAGTAAAATCACAATGGCAGAACATGAATAAAATAAACTGAAAATTGAATTTCCTTCATAAGCAACAGAATCACGAGAGTGTTATAAATTTTTATGAGTGATGTTAATCGTATTTAATTTGTTGATATAATTTATTATTTTAATTATTTATAATTATTAAATTATAAATAAATTTTAATATCTATTAAAATCCAAAATTAAGTATGATACAACAAATTAAATTCATATAATATTAACTTTTAAACTTTCCATTCATAACATTAATAAGGATACATTAATAAAAGGACACACATTTGATCAAAAAAATAAAAAATAAAAGGACACATTAGTAACCTTATCTAATTACTTACTATTGGAATATTCGGACTAATACATAGATGACAACAGTAACAAACGACAGTCTTAACCAGAAATCTCAACGGCCTTGACATCAGGCTTCTTCACCTGCACCTTCGGGACAGTCACAGTCAGCACTCCATTCTCCATGCTAGCTTTCACTTCATCCACTTTGGCATTCTCCGGCAGCCGGAACCGGCGGAGGAACTGGCCGCTGCTCCGCTCCAAGCGGTGCCATTTCTCACCCTTTTGCTCTTCTTCTCTACTCCTCTGCCCGCTAATCTGCAGAATCCTCCCTTCTTCAACCTCGACCTTCACTTCTTCTTTCCTCAGACCCGGGAGGTCGGCCTTGAAGAAGTGAGCTTCAGGAGTCTCTCTCCAATCGATTTGGGTGTTCGCGAACTGGGCTGTCTCGTTTACGAGGTTGGAGAGAGGGGTGGAGAGTGCAGAGGTGGTAATAGGGAAGTCATGGAAAGGGTCCCAGAGGTCGAGCGAGAATGGGTCGAAGGTGCTTGTTCTTGGGCCGCTGAAGAAGCTACTTGGAATGAGCGACATTGTATATGTGTTAAAAGGACTCAAAATGGGAACAACAAGAGAGACAATATACAAGGACGATTTGCTAGGTTTCGCAGAGAAATCGCTTGCTGTTTGTGCTGGTTGAAGAAGATGGAGTAGGAGGTATTTATAGGGCAATGTGAGGGCATATTCGTCTATTCATCGAGGATTATGTCAATTTTTGGAGGGTTCGTGAAGTGTCCAGAGAATCTAACCATTTAAATGTAGACACGTGTCCCAGATTTCTCTAGAAAACGTAGATATGATCGTCTACGTGTAGGAACAAGACAACTTTGTGTTTTTTCGTTGGTTTAGGTTTGGGCCTATGTTACTCAACTTGACGAGTTGATGCGACCATGTTGTTTGGACTAAAGATTTTGTGAGCCCATCTAATATTGGGCCATGTTGCCCAATGCCAATCAATGGAGAGCATAATCCATGAGATGTATATAAGATCTATTGGACATCTATTGTTATGATTTTTTTGTGGTCAGGAAATATAAAATTCTATAAATAAGAAACATGGTATTTTTTACATTTTGGTTCACTCATCCTACTCCTCTTCTAGCTTCCAGCCTAACAATATGCATCACAGAGGGAGGGAGCTTATCATTCCCTTGTACATTAAGTCTCTCACTTCTAGCATAAGCTGCAAGCAAATGGGTAGCCTTGTTTTGAATTTCACCACTTGGAGTAATTGAGCATAGCTCCATATGTCCTTTTGTAAAGCTGCAATCCCCTTCAATGTATCCCCATTGTTTCCAGACTTCTAGTGAGAGAATCAACGAGTTGCTTTGAGTTAGATTCAACAACTATTGCACCATAGTTCTGTTCCACAACAATCTTGCATGCTCGCCTAATTGCACAAGCCTATATTATTAAAGCAGAGGCTGCTACCATAGCTTCAGCTTCCCCTGTGACCATTCTGCCTTCAAAATTTCGAACTATCTATATAATAAAACACTTAGGAGTTTGAAAGTTTTTCTCTTTCATATTTTCTCCTCCAAAAATATCACATCATTTATTTCTATCACATGTTCAATCATTTAATATCTAATTAATTTGTAATTTAATATAATTTTTATTTTAGACATTATCCATTCCCAATAGTTACACATATTGTACGTATTTTGAGAAAATTATCGTTATTTTTTAAAAAATAATGGGTAAAAATAAATTTTAAATAATATAATCAAAGAAATGAAGGAAATAAATATTATTATTTAATATGATATATTCGATTTTTTAGGCGTTCGAATTTTATGTTCTATCGTGCGTGTAGGCATGGGTTATAACTAGTGATACCCTATGTTCCCTCCTTTGTCTTTTCCACCCAAGTCCATCCCAATTAATCTTCAAAACCCCCTGAGGAGGGGATTGACGGGCCATTTCAGGCTAGCTATAGGAGTTCCCACCCGTTATAGGTGCAACCTTCCATTTGTTCAACTCTTCCACTGTTATTATTGCATTTGTAATGACAGTTTTATTGCATGATTGCTTGTGGTTAAAAACCCAATTATTCTTGGACTTTCATGTGAACCAACATAGGTATATTAGCAGAGTTTCACCCTCTTGTTCTTCTTCACCGCACACTTTGTGGGTTTGTAGTTGCCTAATAAACCAAGTCTCAAATCTGCTGGTGCCATACCTATCTATCTTTATGCTTAAAAGGGGCAATTCCTCCACATGCATGACTTTTTTTGTTTGGTAGAATAAAACAATTGAGTGATTGAAAGTTGGAAAAATAGATAAAACATTATGTTTTATAATTGAAGATGAAAAAACGGATGAATTAGCTTTCCTTTTAACGAGTCTAGATTTAGACCAGGTCTGGGCCTAGATTATGGGTTGAGCCCAAACCATCAAAAGACAGATTAGACCTAGCTCAGGGCCTTAGCTCAAGAGTCCAAGAAAAGTCAACACACGTGGAAGAATAATTATCGGGACAATCATTACTTCAGGGTGGTGCCCATTCCCAACTGTAGCTTTCCTTCATGATAGATTGGTCATTTATCCTTCACGCCACCGTCTCAGGTAAGACTCTGTGCCTATAAATTGTAAACCCTCTACACATGAGGGACAAAGCTACATCTCACACAAAAATCTCTTGTACACCACACATTGAGCTTACTTTTGCTCCATCTCTCTCTCACACCTACTACTCTATCAATGACATCCTCCGGCCACCGTTGTTGTCTTCAAAGTGGAGTAGGTCACCCTGACCAAACCATTCTATATCTATATTGCTTGTGTAGATTTCATCTTTGTATTTACTGCATTTATTAACTATACTAATTACTCGACAGGTGATGCATAAATTCACTTTTATTCATTATCAAATTTCTCTAAAATTGAGAGAAAAAGTTGATAAAAAGGTTAATTTTATATATTGGAATGTATGTTAGTTATCTATATAACTTTTAATATATTCATATATCATCTATTTAATAAAGTAGCTTACAATTCAAATCTCAAAAGATAAACAAAATAACTTTTGCTATTCGCGGTTGAGATCGCTTTAAATTTTACTTTAAAGATAATCTAACTTTTAATATTAACACTCTAAATTTCATAGGAAAAATAGGTTTCTAAGGGTGCGTTTGAAGTGACTTTTTAAAAATATTTCTAAAAATTATTTTTCATAAACACTTTTAAAAAAATAGTATTTGAAACCACTCCACCACCGCCGCCCCCACCACCTCCACTGCCGCCACCACCACGGTCTCCACTGCTACTATCGCCGCCACTACGGTCACCACCACGCCCACCCCCACCCCCCACCGTCACCACCACCGTCTCGAACACCACCGCTGTTCCCACTGTCGTCGCCATCATCACCGCCACCACCACCGCCGTCTTCGCCGCCGCCACTACGGTTATTGTCACCCACCACAACCATCACCGTCTCGTACTTCCACCACTGCCACCCATCACAACCATCACCATCTCCTACCACCACTACCACTGCCACTTACCACAACCATCACCGTCTCCTACCACTACTACTGCCACCCACCACCTTTCACCCTAATTACAATCCGATGTTTAAATTTATTTATCTCTCCTCTACATTTGTAATTTGATTTTAGATATGAATACAAATATATTTATTGTTTATTATTTTTTATTACTTTGTACCTTCAGGCACAACAATAACTAGTCTATATAATAAAGTATTTTACAATTCAAATCTCAAAAGATAAACAAAATGACTTTTGCTATTAACGGTTGAGATCGCTTTAAATTTTTACTTTAAAGTTAATTTAATGGCTAACATTAACACCTTAAATTTAATAGGAAAAATAGGTCCTTAAGGGTATGTTTAAAGTGACTTTTTAAAAATATTTATAGAAATTATTACTCATAAATATTTTTTAAAAAATAATATTTGAAACCTCCCCACCACCGCCAATGTCGCCGCTGTTGCCACCATTGTCACTGTCGTCACCACCACCATTGCCACCGTCGCCAGCACCGTCGTCGTCGCTGCCGTCACCACCACCCCTACCACCGTCGTCGCCGCCGTCACTGTTATCACCACCATCACCCCCACCGCCCCCTCACCACCGTTGCTATCGCCGCCGCAGCCACCACCTCCACAACCATCATCGTTTTCTACCACCACTACCACTGTCGCCCACATCTCTCACCCCCTACTACAAACTGATGTTTAAATTCTTTTATCTCTTTTCTATGTTTGTGATTTGATTTTGGATATGATTACAAATATATTTATTGTTTACAATTTCTTATTACTCTGTGCCTTCAGGCACAGACAATAATTAATATTTATCTATTACATATTATGTATACATTAATTTTATATATAAATGTAATGGTAATATATGCATTTATATTTTTTTTTGCTTCAATCTACTTTTCTATCTTATTAAATACAAAAAAAAAATCTAGACTTCCTACTTTCCATTACTCTTACTAAACACAAATGAGTAAAAAAAAATTTTTTACTTGAATGATAGAAAATGTATCATTTTCACTTTTTATCATTCAATTTTTCTATCCACGTTACCAAACACATCATTATGATACGACTGAACTTGACTCTATAAAAGTTGTCCAAAATTACCCAAAATTACAAGTTAACGTACATATGACTCATAGACTAATTTTATACAAGTAGGCAATACTTATTTCTTAGCTGTCCCGTTAGTTAAAATTGATACAAATTCGTGCTAAACCCCAATATGAAAGATTGACATATAGTGGTCACTTTGTCCTCTATTTTTTATGAAGTTTCTAGTGATATTATACGATCTCAGAAAAGCCTCAGTGGGTCCTCCTCCTCACCTGTGGTGGTTTGATCAGGAAATTTTAGGCCCCGTTTTGTTTTTATTGATGTTGCCAATGCCCAATCACTTTGTATGTGAACATGATGTTTTTTAGCAGTATATTTTATAATTTTTTGTTGATTAATCATCATAATGGGGGGGGGGGGGAAGGTAAATAAAGTAAATTTACAAAATGAAAAAAAAGGGGGATAAAAATCCTCTTGTTCTGTTGAAAAGAATAACTGAGCAGAAATCTAAGAGAGAATTCATTTTAAAATTAAAAAAAAAATGGTTAGTAGTTTCTTTTCTTCCATTGGTGTGAACCCAAACAAGAAAAATGAAGAGAATTAATTTCAGTTTCTTTTCTATTCCCATCCATCCCAAACTAAAGTGGGGATAGAGGTCTTGGCAGCCATTTCAATGCTAATGGATGACATAACAGATGGGTATCTTTAGGCCATGTTTTTTTAGAGTAATGCTAATGAGATTTATTTAATTTAATTTTTTGATTTAATGATATAATTTTATTATAATTATTGAATTAATATTAAAATTTAATATTTAATGAGACTCAAAGTCAATTCAATGAATATAGTGAATTAAATTAATAAATTAAATATCCCAATAGCATTACTCTGATTTTTATCGAGTTATAGTTTCAAAATTTTAATGTAATGACTATTTTAATCCTAATCTGACATTTTAAATTTCAAAATTTTAAATTTAAGACAATATTTCTATTACCAAGCACAAAGTACAAAAGATTCCGTTGTCATTCTGAAGGAATCTCATATTGTCCCTCAAAGTGA